GATCAATCACGTATTTTTTGATTTATGGTAACAGTGTCAGTTTTCATGCTCTTCCATGAGAGTTTTTTCAAGTATCGATATCTGTATTCAGTAGTAGCACTTTGACCATCTCTCCAGTAAGTGATTTAGTTGAGATGTGAAGGTTCGTTCCAAGTTTTAATGTGCTGTAGCTTTTGTCTGGAAGTATCTAATGTTTTCAATCTTTAAAAGCAACGTCAAATATTTAAGATTCAGTGCGATATATATTGGTTATTTACAAGATATTTATAAGCTCCTCTTCTTCATGCGTTGTTCGGTCTTTGCATGACAATTTCCGCTTGTCTTTGGTATGAAAATTTTCAGATCTGACGATTGGGAACAAATGAATGAGTGAACAACGTGAAATTGTAAAAGCAAGCTGGTTACAGCACGTAGTACATAAAAAAGGTGGCACTTTACATCGTAAAGCGGTAAATTTCAATTTAATATTCCTCACACATTCTTACAAAGAATCATTATTGCATTATGCTGGCTATTGTCCTTATTTTAGAAAATTCTATATGAAGAAGGGAAGTGGGTCGTATTATGTGTTCACAGTGGTCGTATACCACTTTTGGAATGGTACTTCTCAGAAGAATATGCGCATGGACATAGGTATTTTATCTCAAAAAGTTAATTAGGTTAAGAATTTTAGCTAATCTATGCAATTGTAAGTGTATTTTTTGCAGTTTCTGGTCCATAGATTCGATCCAATATTCTAGTTACTGTGCAGCGAATAATTTTAGACCTTCGAAAGTAATCGATTTGTTAGATTCGTCTTTTGTAAGGGTCATTATGAGTGACCCATCCAGACGCAGTTTCATGATTGGTTTTGTGGATTGTTCACGTGATGCCATTGAGCTTTCTGCTTTGACAATGTAATGCTCGTCTTTTTTTTTTTTTATAAGGAAAACTTGTATTATTAAAGCGTCGTTTTTCATTTTAGACTATATGATATGTAGAACGTGGTTTGTACTGCATTGCTTTAGTACATAAGCTTTATGTACAGACTTTAAATTTAAAGCTTTGGGTCTTTCTAGAATACCGGATCTCACTTTAGTTCTTACCTAACGTATTTCTCGATGCTGGAAGCATGGAAATATAAAAACGAGGATTTCTTGAATTTGTTATTGCTAACGGAATTTTCAGAGAAGATTGTGGTGATTGGATTCGGTCAACAACATCCGCCCTCATGCGATTAAAATGTTTGACGGAATCAATAAATCTCTATATTTCACTACCTGATTTTGCATCTGAATCATTAAGAGCAACTGAACAGTTTCTTCATGAAGATGCTCATCTTAACGAGGTATGCTTTATAGTATGTCAATCAGTGACAGATATAAAGATACGTGAAAACAAAAAGCGCTTTCAGCAGCTCTGGTTTGACTCTTACCGTTTTGCTTTGTGTTTTGGTTAGTATAGGGTTATTAGTGCGATTAAGTTTCATCTACAGAATGTTCGTTCTTTATTGTTTCCATAAGTAGAAAATGAAAGCAGACTCTGTGCTCGAAATCAATTGTGATAAGTTTTAAGGTGCCTGAAGAACTGGCCCCATCAATTTCTGCTGCAAGATATTCAAATTATGAACGCATTAAGTTTTTATCATCAACGCAACTGTTTGGGATATCACATTTGCCTCGTACGCTAAACGCTGAAGAGAAAAAAGCGAAGAATCATAGAGTGATGAAGACTCCACCTCCACTCCCGCCCCGTAATATTTCGTTTTCAGAAGTTCAGGTTCTCAAGACTAGTGCAGAAGTTAGTCTTTCTTTAACTTCTTTTCAGTATTAAATGGAACTTATTTGATTCCATACCAAAAAATGATTCTCTGGTTTTGCAAAATTGTTCAGTTTTTCATGTAAAGTGTACTTTATTGCAAAAATTTCTGGTTGTGTCAAAGTTAGATGAATTTCTTTTTTTTTTTTTTGAGGTTTTCATGAACACTGAAAAAATTCATAGGTTTATAAAATACTCACTCCACAAAATATTAATTTTGTAGCGTTGCTCAATATATGATCATCCAAAGAATCGTACATCCATATCGTTTGGCGATTCACCGGTTGTAGAAGAACGTGCGGAAGATGTTTCAGCTAATCCGGGAAATTCTATGTATATGTTTATAACTTATACTATTGATTTCTTCCTCGTAAGTTGTAACTCCAGTGTTTCATGGTCCTTTGCAATTGTCAGGTTTTTGTGTAATTTCCATTTCTAAATATTACATAAATAAATATTTGCCTTAGAGAACCTAAATATGGGGAAACATTCATTTTATTTATATACAGCCAGCTGCAAAACTTTGCTTTTGGCTATTTTTCTTGAATGAAACTGGGTTCCTCCCTCTTCATTTACCAGAATACACAAAAATGGTTTCTTTGAAGTGTATAAAATTTTATAAAATCGGTACTTCCATTTAAATATGAGAGCATTCAGGATTAAAAATATTTACAGCACTTTGGAGGAACCGACATTACTGGACACTGAAATAACAACACCGGTGAGTTTGTATTCCGAATCGGTGAAGCGTGGTTATTCTGTCCCAACTGGAACCTTGAATGCCAGTATAGCTCACTCACGCCGTATTACTGGAAGTGATTCGTCCTCACTCGATTATGACTCTCTTTCTGGTTCGATTAGTCGGATTTTTCCAATCACAAACATTTCACTACAAAAGACCCATTCAACTTATAAGGAAAACAGCAGTGGAATGTTAGCTGAAGAACAGAATCAGTCACAAATCACCAGTAATAGTGGTATTTCAAGTGGTTTGAGAAATTTAACAGTGCAACCCTTCATATGTATGCAGCATATTGCTTACACAGATTTCGGTGGGAAAGTGTGGTCAGTGTTTCGATGTTCTTTTTTGTTCCCGAATTCTTGTAAAGGAGTTTTATTGACCATGATTACGTCTCTGTCGTTATGCTTTGTTTTAAATAAAGTTAAGCTGAAATTTCAGTTCGTACCTTGATTTCTCCCAATATCAGTTAATTTTCAAATAACTGTGAAGCGAGTTATTTGTTTATTTAAGGATAACGGGTTGGACTGCAATAGCTGAAAAGTATCTTACCGATCAATTGTTTATTGGTGACCAACTTGTACGAATTGCTGATGTTGACATATACAGCACACAACAAATTCCACTCATTTTCAGCGCTACGTTTAAAACAGGGTTCTCGGTACTTTTATAAATTACAATATTTCTCTTCTATGTAAAACGTTCTTGTGGCGTAAACCATACTTAGGATAGTCGTTATCGGCAAAAATACTACTAAAAGATTCCATCTATTATATTGCAAGGCAGATTTTACAACATGTTGCATCTTGAAGATTTTCGACAAATTCGACAGACCTGATTGGTATCTTATTTTAGGTAAATATTGCCATTCAGCGAGTGCCTTACGGGACAATTTACACATTACAGAAAACGACGCAGAAATTTGAAACAGGCTTAATGTTGGATAAACGTAAAAATAAAGTAATACTTATTACTTTTAAAAAAGGTCTAGGCTACCTTTGTTAGCTTAGTCGTGAGGAATTTTGTCGTATCTGTGCAGTTTATTTCAGTTGGCTGACGTTCTTGAGGGGTCACCAGCATGGAAAGCCGGTATTCGGCCTTTAGTTCCAGCAGTTACACGAACAGGCACAACTCCTGCTTGCATTACTTGTGTAAACAGACATGGTTTGAATATGTTTTCGAAAAATGATGAAGTTCTTAGACAGATCGATACTTTACCTTTGTCTATTTTTACTGTCATGGTGCAACCCTATGATTTTGTCAAACTTCTGAAAAGAAGTTTAAAGAAATTGAAAAATGTCAGCGATTTCGTTCACAAATTCCAAACACAATCACTGCATTGACTGCTCAGTTTTCCGTTCATGTATTATCTTTTTTTTTTTTAGTTATCTTATTTTTTAAATTGTAAATATGACTGTAATGACATTAATAGATATAAACATTTCAAAATAAGTGGCTCACAGTGAAGGAAGCCTATTATGTGCGGCTTTTGGGATCATTCTAACATAATTGTTTGATGAAAAATGATACGTATATTGATATTCTAAATCTTATTGTACATTTCACTGCACACAGGCACTAGAGACTTTTCGTATACTCAAAGATGGGTAAAGTACATAATAACTGAGACACAGTAAAAAGTACCTCCTATGGAAAAGCATGGTAAAACGTTAGATTGCAAGCTTTGGGATATAAGGAATTACTGCCGAACAGCATCGTTTGAAGAGATAGTGCACAGTTTGAATAGCATTATCAAGGTACAAATTTATGAGAATCAGTGTCCATCGTTAGTCAATTTGTTAACTTTGTGCTTTCTACAGGGCAGTTCTTTTGTAGAGGGCAAAATATGAAAACAGCTTTCTCCTTAGCGGTACGCAACTTTGAAGCATGCAATTCCTACCTCGAAATTAAATTTCTTCAAATCTGTAAGATTTCATAGGATTGAGGATGAATTAATGGAATGCATCAGTTTGGGCGTATGTGTATATATCCACTGGACTGTTGAGATTGTGCGGTTTCACAGCGATTGAGCTCTCCACTGAGCATATTGGCTGTTCAAGTTGTTGTGATTATCAGTATTTGCAGTATCCATTAAGCTTATACTACATTATTCTCGTACAGACAGTCCTGGAATTAACAGTTCATTTATATAACACATTGGACGTTAATTTATAAATAAGGCTTGGGTAAGTGATGTGAAGTCACGTGTGGACTCATAAACCATCCTATTCAGGTGACTGTTTGACTGGATGTTGTAGTGTCGTTTTATGTAAGCCTTTTCTCATCTCATTCGAACCCTTTGACAACATAGAGGTTAGATTTTAATGAAAGGTTTGGTCGTGTCATATCTTGTTGGTAGTGGACTGACGTGCAGCACTATTTTGGAAAATTAATTGTATGAGCTTTTATGGTTCTCACCAAAATGATGTGATCCAGATGGATACATATTTTAGAATAAAAAGTGATGGCTCATTCGTTACCATTTACTCCTCCGTCATCGCCAAGCTGTAGAGGTCCGTCATCGGCACTCTCATTTCATGGAGTTCATCCGATAGGTACACCCACCGCAAACTGCTTGGCCGATTGCCTTGGAGTTTCTCCTCTTTATCGTCAACAGAAGTAAGATTTCTTTATCGTCTATAGAAAAAAATCGTTTATACTTAAGAGCTGAAATGAATTAATTTCTGAGTTCTGGTCCATTTTTAAAAAATACCTGATATTAAGGAAGTGAAGTCATTATGACTTTGATTGCTTCTTTTAAGTTATCATCAGTATTTTTGATATTCATCGAGTTCTGTAATCTCACTCCTTAGTTAAATTTCTTTAATTTGCCTGACCACAAATATTTGAGCATCATCAAATTAGTTTCTTTTCGATACGTAGGTATGATTCGCAGGCTGTTAAGAGATTTTCCTGTGAAAAGAATTAGTCAATAAATCAAATATTGCCAACGATTTGGTAGAAAATGAAGCTTCCCGCCATTTTTTAAAATACGTAGCATTAAGCTGAATGCAGCCACCAAGGGCACAATAGTTTGTCTTATGATGTTTTCTATATCGATATTATAATAATTTCTGTGACGCCTGAGACAGCAGCAAAATTCCAAAAGCACTCATTTGTTTGTCCGCTTTAAGATAGAATTTTTTTTTTTTTGAGAATTATATGAAGATGTGTGTGTCTTTGTGTTTGTGCCTTATAATTTTAATACCTGTTGCTTTCATTAGTTATTTTTTTTTAGCTCAGCTCGTTGGCAGAGTGCAGCACAAATTTATCAGAGTTATCAAAGCAGCCGAACACATAGTCGTGCTCACAGCCCAGCGGCGGATGGATTTCACGAAGCATTTATGTATCCGCCAAGTTTGACTCCTGCATTAATATCCGATCATATTTCTACTGTTCACAACATTTTCGGGTATGAATTGTGAATTAATACTTGTAAGCTCGGTTTGAAGATTTTGCTTTTGTTTCCTCTTTACACTAAAGAAATTATCTTCTACTGAAATGTGTTCGGATTAATTCCACGACTTCTGATTGTGCCTCAGGATCTAAATACTAGATGCATGGAATTATTATTTCATGTTTGTCGCCAAAGTTTTTGACTAAGCGCTACACTTATTCTATCTTGAACTATTCTTTCTCTTTCTACTGCTGAATATATTTATCAAACTATTTGTTAATTCTTAAAAAATCAAAGTTGGAAAAAAGTGAGATAGGCTGTCAAAAGCTTTTCATACAAACATATTAAACTTTTAAAACGGTACACTTGCTTTTTTTTCAGAACACCACTTTCTCTCGTTGAAATAGGTCGCGCTAATCGAAAACGTCATGCTGAAGTTGGTGATACACTAAATGAGCAAAGTGTTGGTGGCCCTTTAGAATTAGAAGCTATAGCAGCCGTGCACGAACTCTCAAATGAAGTGCGCTCAATTGCTGTCTCAGAAATCTTGCCACGAACAGCCGATTTGATTTTCGTAAATATTAAGACTGTCGAGGGTTAGCATATCTTTTGATCTGAGAGTCTTATATGAAAGAACTGCTTTATTGCTTTTTTACCTCAATTTTGTTAGATTCTGATGGGTATGAAATCCTTTAGTATAGAATTATAAGGTCCAAGGTAGTCGATCTCTGTATAAATTGTAATATCCTAAAACCTTTTGTATTGACATAGACAACCGGTGAGAAGTCATGATTATAAAGTAGGGTTGTTTGTATCTATTGTAATGAACAGTTAATTTTTCCTCTGTTTTATTTTTCAAGTTATTATTAATGTAAAGGGTGATACTTCATATAGTTGACTTCCATTATTTTCGAAGTTGTTATTAAACTACAAACAGGTCATCCTTATACGTTAGAATTAACAATGAAAGGATGGCGGATTGCATCGTTGCAGTGTGATAGTATGAATGGAGATTATAAACGGGTACTGTGTTAGTTCATTGGTTTTTAAAAACTATTTATGTTAAATGGTTTGTTTTCAGAAAGCATCCTTGTTTTATCTTCCACTCGTTTCGCTACAGATTAGTTGTTTATGTGAAATTCTGGCAAAAAATTCTGTTAGGCACAATACCAAATATTCACTTAAACATCTAACAACTGTTAAGATTTATTTTATTTTGAAGGTTGGATTGCATGCAAAATATTACGAAAATGCTAGGCAGCTTCTTGAAGAGATTTCACCAGCACATTCGCAGTACTTTACCAAATGTTTGACTGAAAAGCTAACTCAGCTTCATGCATGGAGGAAAGCTCAGGTGTCTGTTTATTAGAAAATGGAGTTCATTCGATTTTTAAAAGCAGGAACAGTGACCGAGTAATATAACCCAGTGAAAATTCATTGTGTTTCTGGTTTTCTGATAGATTTATTCAAGTCTAATTTTTGAGGGATTTATTACTAGTAGTGCTTTGTTAAACTATATTTTACAGATTTTGACATACAGCTCTTTTGCTCTTTTGCATCGAATCATAACAGTTTATAGATCTTATTGTTGAAATTCTTTCACTTTTTCTTTCTTTTCTTTGCAGGAAGAAATGGAAGATGATGTGGAGTCATTTGAAAAACAGACAGGCAGAGCTTCAACAAGCTTGAAAAAAGAAGCAGAAAAAAAGGACGGAGAAAATGACACTCAATCAGACGAAGGTCTCATGTTCACTGTGGACGAAAGTAGTAATAGGTGAAATGTTCCACTGCTTCTTCTCTACGCAAGTGTTAGTTATTTGTTGAACTTTCTATCTAGAACTATAACAATAAAACCAGTCTGAAGTTATTACTTATCTTTCTTATCTTTTTTGATCTGTTTTGCTTATCTTTTTCAGCATTTGACCTTCAAAGTGTGTCAAAATAGCAGAATTGAGATTCAGGCAACATTTTCAATTTTACTTGACTGATCTGTAACCAACTGCGTTGTTCATAATACTGTCCTTTTTGTTTCATTGTGTTGTAATGTGCTTGCTAGCCTTAATAGATACTTTTTGCTAAAAAGCCATGAAAACTCGTGTGAGGATACTTATGGAATTAATCTCCCAACTAATCGTTTATTTATATCTCAGTCCTTAACGCAGTCTAGCCAAGTTATCGCCTTCAACTTACTTTTTTCCGTATAATAGTCCCCACTGCATAAACTACTAAACAGCTCAGTTTCTATATTTCGCCTTTTCTCTTGTTGATCCTCGCTGCGTTTTTCTTGGCATCTAAGAAATGTCATGAAAATTTGTTCAACAAAAGAAAGACAATTTGCTTGCCATATAAGCCAGTCCAGGGTATCCTAGCACTTATCTGATTATATTTTTGAAAATGAGACCACCGTGCCTGATTATTTCGGGTAGGTAAATAGGTGATTGGTGTTTTGAGATTTATTTGGAACCTTTTTCAATTTCACAGTGCATTTTCTGAACAGCTTTCAATATATTAGAATATGTTACTCTTTGCGAATTAATCATTTCGTTTCCTCGGCGATGTTGATTTACAGAGAATTTATAGATTGATATGGAATGTAGTTTATCTTCAATTTCATTTTATTTTTTTTAGTTTGCGTTATGGAGTTTTTTTTACTTCAGTATCTGCGGTGGAGCAGTGAACTCAAGCGGCCGATATTTCTGAAACGTCTTTATTAGGCGAATTGAAACTCAGAAGTTGTTTTTTTCAGATTCTGATAATATAGGATTATAGCATTTCAGATAATTTTTCACGTATGAAAAAAATTAAATTAAAATTCTCAGCCACAACATTTAATATATTCAGAATTATATTTCATAGAAATCTTTGTGCATAATTTTGAGCGGCTTTTTGTTAAGCTTTTTGAAAAGTTGGTAGCTATCACACTTTTTCATCTTTTATAACTTGTTTCATACAGTTTTGATGTGTTTTTAATCATTTGTTCGTTAAAAAATGCGAGCTGCTACCCTATTTTTTTATTTTTGAACTGGTGTCAAAATGTTTAACCTGTATTGCTTTTTGTTAGGCTTAATTTCTAGCTGAAGTTTTTTTGAGCGTGTTTTAATGCTTGGTAGCTGTAGCATTTTTCCATTTTGCATGACTTGTTTTATGCAGATTTGTATTTGCTGTTTTAAATTATGTATCTTGTTAAGTGCAAACATATTATGTTAGTTAGTTTTCATGTTTTTTATTCTGATAAGTGAAAAAACTTATATTTCCGGTGTTATGTTTCAAAAAAAAAAAAGAGAAAATGAAGATTGGACATTTTAATAATTTATTTCTGTGTTATCACTGTTTAGTTTGGTGTTCTGGGCTCCGCAATACTAGTCTCATTTTAATCTTGCGTTAATTATGATAGTATCAGTCCTCGATCCGATCCGGAACGGTGTTCTAGAAACATCAGCCGGGATCTCACCCGCTACGAGATAGCCAAATAGGAACTCGTCGATTCGGACCCTATGTTTGGTTGGGGGGAAATCTTGTACGGATGGATTCGTTTGAAATATGAATGTTTGCTTAGCATAAGTTGAGTTATGAGATTTTCTGTTCCGATCAAAAAGGAAATAATGTTCGATATTGTTTGATATCCAAAAGATTTTTCAAAAATGTGTCACATCTTCGAGAGCAACTTCAAATTAAGGCTGATTGGGTTTCGGTTCCTCAATCTCCACTGATTCCCGCATATCAATCAATTAATTGGATTTTAAACGTCCGAATGATTCTGCAGATTTTGTTCGAATGACTAGACTGGTTTTTAAATTAATTAAAAAGCGCAAGGATGCACTGTTGGTGTATTCTAAGCTGCGAGTGATTTACAATGAATTTATTCTATATTTAATTAGCCCCTGAAGTGTCATAATCGAGAGAACAATGTTTAAATATTGTCCGTGAAAGTCTGTAATAGTTGATCCAAAGTCCTCAGTGGAAACTGAAATGAATGTAGGGAAGTAGCAAGTGCTTTCCGATAACAGTGTTGTTACTAAAGTTTTATTAACTTTTTGACTCAATTCATCAATTTAATTTCGGACAAATGAAGGTCATTGACAGCCATTTCTTATCAACTGGCTTGTTCGCAAGTCCAGTTTTTCCAAGCCTAATCAAAAATACTCTGGAAAGTAAGGTTTCAATTTTACTAGTTGGATGTGTAAGTTTTTGGAAAAGAATGTTTCTTATTATTTTGCACAAGTAAGCATTGAAAAACACTTAAGTGGATCAATCATTAAAATTTCTTCCCAATCAGCTTTTTCCAATTTTAGCTTTCTTTAATTTATGGTTATTTAATCTTCATTACTTTTTTTCTTGCTTCAGTGAACTGACATTAGATTTTCGAACTCCGAAAACTTCTTGTTAAAATAGACCCATGCAAATTATAAAGTAATGAAATAAAATTATCTAAACAATTACAAATAATCACATTTACCGTGGGTTTTGCTGGAATTTTTGACTGTAATAAATACAGCCGGTTTTTTCTTTTTTTTTTTTTTTTTCTTTTTTTAATCTAAAAAACCAGTATCGCTCTTTTTTAATGTACTTGAAGAAGGATGTTACACGAACTATTTTTTTCATTATGTCTTTGATGAGATGCGAAGTGGGGTAGAAAAATCAAAGATGAAATCAAACAGAATAATTTAGGGTGGGATGAAATAAAATGGTCTTTTTTCTTTTTCGGAACCGTCACAGTTGAAAAAGATAATATTTCCGAATTTCAGGGAACATTGCGAAGGAAGGTGAGACACTGCATCGCTAAATAATTTATCGCTCTTGAAATAAGTTTTAATGTACTGAGTGATAATTATTTTAGGTGCGCGACACATGGACGCCTTTTTATTGATGGTCTGTCAGTCTGTATGAATCTTCTAACAGGTACAGTTGGTAACTGGTGTTTTTTTCTTATCCTTTGGTTGCTTGTTATCATTTGTTGGAAATTCATTAATTTAAATTTTGAAAATTTTCAGTTGACTGAAGTTGTTATAAATATTTCAGTATATTTCTGCAAAACTTTTTTTCACATTTTTTTAAAGTCAATGAAAAAGCAAATTATGATAAACTAATGCAAGTTGATTAAGATTTAATAGATTTAATTAAACTACATTTTCTTCAGAGATTTTATAGATTACGTATTTGAAGTTGTCTGGGAACAATTGAGATTTAGCAAAAAATTAATTTTTTTAACTTAATTTTTTCAAAAATTAACTTATTTTTTTCAAAAACCCACTAAAATTGAATGTGGAATTAGGGTTATTTGTAAATTTCGAATTAAATTCGTTAGCATGTAAAGTGATGAATGAATACGCATAATTTTAATATTAGACAACCGTGGTAACGTTGATAATGATAATTACAACAATGACATAATAGATTAATTATACCTATTTTTGATTATATGAGAACAGCAAACTTATGGGATTCATAAATGAGAGTTTTTAGGCATTAGTAACAATTTCTTTCTCAGCAATCATCTGAATTTTTTACACTCACCTTTTTTATAGAAAGTCAATTTTTTTTTATTAGTATTTTCAATTAGTAACATTCAGACTAATGATAAGCAGTAGTTATCATTCAGATTAATGATAAGTAAGTAATTATCATTCGTTTATATTTATAAACTATATCCTTTATATAAATGTCCTGCAATAGTTGTATGAATCTCTTTTATGAGTTATATGATTCTTGTATGAAGTTGGTATGAATTTCCTACAAAGCCTAAAACTTGCTGGAAAAGCAGGATTAAAGTCCGGGACTAATTTCAAATTTGTATTGAAAGCTGCAGACATGGAAAAAATGCAGCATTGCTGTTTGGGTGTGTGTTTTAAATTCCTAAATAATAGCTTTCTAGAGAAAAAAAAAAAAAAACGCCACTATAATGATTGCTTCCCAACCTGTAGAGTATAACCATAGACTTTTTCAGATAATATGGCTCGTGAGAAACTTCATCGACAAATACTGATCAGTTTGAAGTTTGCATTACAATACATTTTATGTGTATTATTTCGAGATTTGCCTCGAATGATTGCACTGAAAAGAAAATCAATAACCGATCAGGTTTTACTTTCTAGCTACTGCTGACAAGTTTAAGGATATTACTGGACGTTTCTTCATCATAGCAATGAAGATGTGACTCAGTTTCCCGAAACGTAAAATAGCGCATTCTTGCGATGCAAATCAGTTATCAGTGAGTCAGTGAGCTACCAAATAATGATTTACATAGTTATGAGCTAGTCAGATCCAAACGGATTTGGATTAATTTGTAATTAAATGATAGCATGCACTATTTTGTCTTGACTTAATTCAGTTCGAAATCAAATTATAATTTTTAAATCATACAGAAAAGTTAGGATTCATGTGTATTTTATTGCCTTAAAAAACGGTACAGCCAATCACAAAAATTATTGATTTTAGGTGGTTGCTATCACCGGTGGTGCATCGGGAATTGGTAAAGGACTGGCGCAGAAAATTGCATTGGAACAGAATGCCATCGTCTGCATTTTGGATATTAATCAGGTAGTATTTTATTCGATAATTCATTTAAATTGTGGAGTTTGTATACTTTATTTCGAAAAGTTCAAAATGCATAATTATGTTTTCGAAAGTTGAGGACAAAATAAGACTGGTAGAAATTACTAACAGACGGTGCAATTGAACATAAAAGAAGCGCATATTGCAATTTCTATGAGCAATTTCTATGAAATTTACAATCCGTAATCGACTAATGAATATCAAATTAACGGGATATCATTTATCA